TGCCCTCAGTCTTACAGGAAGGGTTTTCCGAATGACATATGAGAGTGCAGCAGCGTGAGTGCGTGGGGTCATGGCCCAAGCAACGTTAGAGGTGTCAACAGCCTTCCCTCTCGGAACTTAGAAACCCCAAATCCTTGTTCTCTGATTGGTTTATGATTCAGTAAAAAAGTATGTAAATAGATAGAGCTTTTGAGGTGGTCCATAGACTTTTTTTTTTTTACAGGAAAATTATGTTCCTTCTGCAATTATCAGAGCTTTGGTGCAAAAATTGATTATTTGTACTTGGCATGGGATTATATGCTGTTACAATGCTTTACATTGATAACTTATTTGTGCACAGTTTATAATTAGATTACCAATAAAGGACACTTATATTTCCTAATAAGTTAATATTCACTAAAATCTCGTGGCATCAAGGTCAACTACAGTGGTATGTAGGAATGAATAGCTCAGCAAATCCTATTCCCCATAAAGCGATGATGAAATCAACAAAATTATCAAAAACAACTATTTGTAGGCCCTGGAAATTAACCAAAGGCATACACCAAATTGAGAAGTGGGTATACACACACACACACACACACACACACACACACACACACACACACACACACACACACACCCCTCTGAACTCTGGGTTAGAACAGTAGAAGTCTGTGGTGTTCTCATCGCCCACTTCCATCTTGGTCAGCACAGTAATCCCACCAGGGTGGGCATATTGTGTAAACCAGCAGCCTTGCTGAGAGGGTGCTGATGGATTTGGAGCAGAGCATGGAAGAAAACACACCCAGCAGCAGTGTCAGTAACAGGAGTCTCAATGGCAGACAAGCAGAGAATACCAGTGGCTTTGTTAGCCTGAGGCTGCGCTCCTGGGGAGGGCAAGCGGTGAACCAGCAGGCCAGCTAGAAGTTTACCGGTGGGACCTGCTTAGTGAGAAAGCGACACAGGGCCTTGATAGCTCCCACACATCTGCACAGGAGAAGCTGGAGAGAGCCCACGCTGTTCACACAGGCCTGCCTGAGCGAGCCTACAGAGATGCAAAGAGGGCCTGGCAGAAAGGGCAAACCAGGGCAGAGTTTAAAACTGCTTGGACTGTGATGTGCTCCCTCTAAACCTCACAAATCCTTCCAGGGTGGAGGTCTTACTGGTTCAGGGTGTTTGAGCACAACTTCTGACTCAGATGGGGTGATGCTGAGGAAGGCAGCCTTCAAAATAAAAGCAAGAATCATTAAAATGAACCAATGAAAGAAAGTAAAAATTAAAATAAAAGCAAGAATTAAAAAAAAAAAAAAAAGAGAGCAGAGAAATCAGTAGTTACACGCGCCACAGGCCAAACTCAGATGTTGGACTTAAAGATGAGGCCTTTAAAGCAACTTTTATAAACATATTCA